ACTCTTAATTTTCATACATCCTTTGTCAGTATAGAATTTTACTCTGGATAGAATTCCCAAAATAACTTTTCTTTCCTTGTATAGGCCAAAGTACAGCATTTGATTTGTATTGTGTGCCTCTCTGTTTTCCTTAGCAAACAAATGAAATCATTTGGAGTATAAAAGAAATAATCAAACGTGTGTTATATTGTCTAATACAAATGGTTATGTAAATCTTTAGAAAAAATTATTTATTCTATATCTCTGTCTTCTAGTTCGAGTACTTATAAAAAAATTTTATAATTACTTTAAAAAGAAACACTAATTTACATACGGCTTGAATTATCTTCATTTGCGATGATTTCATTAATGACGCTCCAATTACGTTTTTTACAACAATTTTGGGCTTAAGTTTGTAATAACTATAGCACAGTAATGTTAATAATGTTAATGACAATGACAATGAAGGTGGTACTAGTATAATATACACAACAAAAGAGAAGCATTCAGTGAGTATCATTCAAACTCGGATATTGACCTATTTTGTCACATGTAATGATGCTACACATTATACCAGATGCCCCTCTTGTTTCTGTTCCATTTCTATGTTTTCCAGATATTGTTTTTGACAGACTGTTCTGTGTATGAAACACTTTGCATCGCAATGATGAATAATGATAACGGTAATGATAATAATAGTATAATAATAATAGTAACAACAATAACAATGATAGCAAAGGTGATGATGATTGATGATTTATGTTCTTCACGATGTGATTAATTTAAGTGCTAAACTGAGAATTAAATTTGAATAATAATGATAATGGAAATTAGAATATTAATAAAGGGTGGTAGTAACGTGAGCATGTATAGAAATAAAGAGCAATCGTAAATTGCAATACAAAATTGGTTTAATAGAGTGATCAACGATCAATCTCTTTTAATATTTTCAGGGGTTCTTCACAAGTTTGGGAATAATAATAGAATAGGATAATAAAATTACTAATCAATAATAACATAAGGCAATATGTGAAGGAGTTGGCCATCAGAGGAGGGCCTTGTTAGCATCTGATGCCATTCTCGAAATTCTTCATCAGGTCGGCTATACACATTCTTTACACCATTGATTTCTGACTCCGTTACTTCTTGACTGTCATTACAAGTAGAAGAAGTTAAAGATGATAGTTTTGGTTGGAAGTTTCCATTTAGTCCTTCTACACATTCTGCGTGTAACCTTTTTATATCATCTTCTGTAATTTGCCTAGGTGGGTATTCAGTACTGTTCTTATCATCGGTCAATTCTGTTTCACTTTCACCCCAGTCGATTGCACTTGGATCTATAGGGGGTAACTTTGCTAGTATTTCTTCAACTGTTAGTTCATGAGATTGTTCTGATTGTGTTTTTTGACAACTTGTAACTGACTTGTCTTTATACACTACACCCGATTCTTGACACTTAGACGATACATCGTGACAATTCTCTGTAGGTTTTAACCTACTCTCTGGCAAGGTTTCAGAAACTGTATTTCTATGTGACGAATTGTTCTGAGTACAACGAAGGAACTTTGATACTTGTTCATTGCTGCCTCTCAAAATATCTTCCATGCTGGGCGATTCTTCATTTTGACTAGGTAGAGCACTTGAATTAACGCTAGAATTGGTGCCGCGTGCCCGCAGGTCAGCCAGCAGTTCTTGAGTTGTTTTTAATTTAGGATTTCTTGAGATACTAGCTAGTTTTTCTTTTACACGGTCTTCTAATATCGGCTGCTTCTTCACAGACTTACTGCCTTTCTTTCTACCACGCTTCTTTGGACCTGAATCGTCAGCATCAGTGGAAGACTCCACAAAATGATCAGAGATTCGTTCTTTAAATGTGGGGCTAGGCACTTGCAAGTTTAAATTACCACTTATATTTTCGCCATTGAGACGTTGCTTTTTAAAAGGTTCACTTTCAGTAACTGAGTCTGAATCATGATGCTGACAATTATGTTTGTCGTTCAGATCCTCTTTTCGAAGACGTTTATTTGAACTGTGAGTTCGTGGCACTGCTTCCGTTGTGTGATTTTGACTCGAGGAACCAAGCATAGAAGTCACATCGGAACTTGTTTTGTGGTTGCTGGTCACTGTAATTGACTGCTTGTTTGACGATGCTTTAGGAGAATGTGAATGTTCACTATGCACAGATAGAGCTGGACTAAGCACCTGTAATGGGATTATTCAAGAGTTATACATATTTAATAACATACAGTATTTAATATCTATGATATTAAATATACATAATGTATTGAAAATGTGTAATGATAGGATGTGTGTATGTAATGTTAATATAAAGGCAGTCGCTATTTAATTATTTTTCTTGGGTGTTACAATATTTGGAGGAATTAAAAATGACTTGCTCTTCATTATTTGCCATCTGGTTAGTATACTTGCTCATATATTTGTATGAGCACTCAAAAAGAAAACAAACGAATTAAGGTGCATGAGAACTACCCATCAGTATTTAAATTTAAATTGTACACTTAATGTGTCCAAAGCAGAAGTAATAGCAATAATACAGGGTAAGTAATAGCATTAGGGTTTATTTTAAAAACTTTTGATTCTGAAACCCAATGTATTCTTGTAGAAGGAAATAATTAAAATAAAATTCTCAACACATTTCTCTTTAAAAATTCAGTCTTGGAAAATTCTCAACATATATACTTTATAATAAATAACAAATCAAATAAATATAAAGATATAAAACTTGTTCAACTTACTCTAAGAGGTGTTGTATCCCTCAACAATGGACTCTGAGGTTTCAGACCCCTTAATGCTGGACTTTGTGGTTTAAAACATCTTAGTGCAGGACTATGTGGCTTTGCACCATTGAGAGCAGGTGGTGCTGTATCAGCTGGTGTAGGTTGTGGAGTAGAGTGGGCAGAGGGTAGAACCATGTCTCGCCAGCGGCGTACCAAATCCTTTGCACGTTTAGCCAAGGCATCATTATTTGTTTTTCGTCGTAGTTCATTAATGTGTTTTCCAAGTCGTGTGATCTAATTTCATATAAATCAATTTACCAAAATTGTTATTAAGTAATTATAATCACAATTAAAAAATCAAGATAATAATAATGCCATTCTGAATTGACAAGCTATTTGTATGTAATGTATTATAGTTTTGAAAAAAATAAATACCTCAAGCAATTCCTTAGTGATCGCCGTCTTTTCCAGGGCCGTAATGACATCCACAACAGCTCCCATATCGACGACCTAAAAATTTCAATATTTATTAATATTATGTTAACATATTTTTAATATTATGGAACATTTATGGATCAACCAGTCATTTTAAATTATTTGATCGATATGGTTATATATTAATTCCATATAAAATAGAAAAGTTCATTACAAAGATGAACACTGAT